GGCTTATTTCCTTTCGAATTGCCTTTGAGAAATAGTTTATCCTTTCCCTTTCCCTTCTAATTTTTCTTCAATATTTTTCTCCTAACCCCAAATGAATTTTCTTTGTTGAATCTTTTCTTTCTAAATATTTTTCTAGGTAGTGGATGTAAAAGCGCAAATATTTCTTCCCCGATCAGCCTTGGTGGTGCTGGTCTGTTTTCTGGATTGTCGTCAAACTTTCCTATTAACTTTCTGAACTTATGCCCTGTAGGAAACCATCTTCTGTGTTGCCAATAACAGAAATTACGACTGTATTTCATAAAAATTTCCTCATAGTCTGACATGCAAACCGGTCAAGCAATCTGAGCCTTCGTCGACCATCCAGATAGGTTAGCGTATGCTGGGAAGTCATTAATTGTCTACATGACCATTGTCCGCATACAGAAAGACTCCTTACCATAAGCATCATAAATGTTGACACATTCTTCCCAGAGAAACTTCAGGTTGTCAATTAATGGTTGGAGGAAAACGTCAATGTCATTTCCAGGAGAATATCTTCTAGGGATTAAGAGTGACAGTATCATGTACAGCTGCGTCATGCACATCGACGACGGTAGGTTGTACGGTGTCAGCAACACTGGCTAGGTAGACCAAGCGGAGCTCATTAATCCAAACGGATTAAATCTATCACTAGCAAGTCCTAACCTAATATTTCGAGACTCCTGACCAAAGTTGGGGTATATACGATTAATGTGCTTCCATGCCTTACCGTCAGCCGGATGTCTTAGTTTCCCATCATCTTTGCGGTCGATCGAATGTCATCGCATATTCTCAGCCAGCTCGGCAGACATAAAAAACCTCTGCAGCCTAGGAATAATTAGAAAATATCGAAGAACCTTCACAGAGATTCTGCTCTGCTTATTGGATGAACCACCTTCAGATGTGCCTGTATGTTCTTTCTAGCGTGATACATGACACGTCGGACATTCCTCCAGAGCTTCATTACCCTTATTGTACAAGATGCAATCATTAGGACATGCGCCTATCTTCTTGTAATTAAGCCCCAGCGTATCAACAATCTTGTGAGCTTCTTAAGAGGTTGTGGGGAATCTCTTCTCGCCGCCTAGAATGACTTTCCTGAGCAAGTCTAATAACATCTCAAAATGTGTAACAGTCATCCCACTGAGTGTTTGGATATGAAGAAGCCTCAGTATAAAAGAAAGCCTTATGAACTCCTTGCACCCCTCGTATAATGGTGACTCGTTTTCTTCAACAAGTCTCATCAATCGGTCTACATCTTAAAATATATCAGTAGTGTTGACATCACTCGAAGACGGCGTGGCAAGAATATCTTCCAACATTTTAGTCGTGTTAACTGTCGGATTGTCGACATCAGTGAACTCTTCCTCTAATTGCATCACCGGGATGCCTTCACCGTGATGACTCCAAAATATATAAGAGCTATCAAATCCATTGATTGATAGATGGAAACTTACGTCACTCCTAGTGAGCATTTTACCATTCCTGTAATTCTTACAAGGATAGAAAATCGACCCGCTCAGCGATTGTAGAGGGTTGGTGTCAGAGTAGGCTAAGAAGGCTTCTATTCCATCCTTGTATCGGGTGTCTAGATGCCTCCGATCACGTGGTATGCTCATGAACGATTCGTCAGGAACTGTCTGCGTCTAGAATTTAAAAATTAATGGAAGTGAGCATATCCCTACATATATCATTTTAATTTAGGACAAATGTGTGTGACCGGCTGTCAGAGGAAGGCTTCTATCCCATTAGGTATGTAAACGTGATGTGTATATGTATTTACGTGTGTTCAAGTGTACTATCATTTCGTTAAAATTTCGGCAGCACCTACCCTGATGTTCTCCGAGTACACTGTAGTGGGAAGGATATAATCCTGCATATCCCTCCGACATTTGTACATGGAGAACAACAAGTAAGCGCTGCCGAAACTTTGACAAAATAAAAGTACACAAGAACACACGTAAATAAATATACACGTCGTGTTTACATACGTAACCCGTCCACACTGGACAGATCCAATAAATATTTATATGTAAGTCCCCCAATCACATACGCGTACGAAAAGGTTGTTCGGACCGAACACGATGGTCTCGTATCCGCCAACCATCCCGTACACGTATGTGACCAGTAAATAAAGAGATTATATATAGTACTTATTGGACGGGGAATTCTACGGCTCGAAAATATGTGTGTACAGTTCCTATGTAATTAGCGATGTAATAGGTATGCTAACCTTCAACGTAACTCTCACTATAACCCTCAATGTAACCATCACCTAACCTAACACTCACCTAACCCTAACCCTCACCATTGCCATAACCCTCGCCCTCGCCCTTGCCATAACCCCCGACCTCGCCCTCTCCTTCGTCCAAACCCTAACCCTAAACCTCACCCTCACCCAAACATAACCAACCCCTAACCCTCGCCCTCGCCATACCCCTAACACTAACCCTCACCCTCGCCATAACCCCTCGCCCTCGCCCTCACCCTAACCCTAACCCTCACCCTCACCCTTACCCAATCCTACACCTCGCTTAACCCTAACCCTAACCCTATCCCTCATCCTCACCATCACCTAACCATCGCCTAACCCTAACCCTCACCCAACCCTAACCCTAACCCTCGTCTAACCCTAACCCTCACCCTCACCTAACCCTCGCCTAACCCTAACCCTAACCCTCCCCCAACCCTAACCCTAACCCTCGTCTAACCCTAACCCTAACCATAACCCATACTAAATTTAATTTTTTTTATATTATAATTTCATCAAAATGAACAATTTTTATTAGGGTTTGGGTTTTTTTCTACAATTTTTTATTTTGCAAAAATTAAACTCTAATTATAATTAAAAATTATAATTAATAAATTCAAAACTAAAAAAATAAATCTCTCTTTATCTCTCCCCCTACATAACCTTCTCTCTGTCTCTCTCTCGTCGGCCGACGCCGACGGCCGTTGGTCG